TTGATATAAAATACCAAACAAATAAAAGAAAAACAAAAATTAAAAGACTTTTTGTAATAACCGTAATTGATCAAAAGGTATCTGACATAACCTTCTTGATGTTTTTGTTGATGAAATATATGAACTACTTAAAGTTGAGTTTACGTTAAGACTTAATAAGTTATTTAACTTTTTAGCCAAAAAAGGCGAAACTTGTAAAGATATAGGATTTGCGGGTGTTAAACCAAACAAGTTTGTTCTTATTTTGGATCTTTTATATTAGTACTTTATTTCTTACTAACTTTTTTATATAATATTTGCTGTTGTTGGAAGGCATTGCAAAAAACTATTTTCAAACTTTATTGCAAGTAGCCACAAAAATCCCAAAAATCGCCCAATTCTCATGATATTTTTTTCAAGAAACCAATTTTCGCAGTTATACAATTGCGTTTTTATACCAATAATGGCGATTTGATTTCATGTTTTACGCAACTAATGAATTAGAATTTTTTTATGTTATTTTTCCTTTAGTTTTGAACAATAATTAATTTTAAATTATTTTTAGAATTATTATTAAACTTTAATTTAGAAACTCTTTTTAAAGAATGGGATTTTTTCATCTTTAAATTGGAAATTTTAATTTAATGAGCATTTGGGAAAACTGCGTTTGACGGGGCGCCACAGGGCTAGTTTACACCCTGGGTTCATATTTGCATCTTTTAGTTTCCAAATTTCCTTTGAAATTTCAGTATCATTTTTGTACTTAGGAATGTTAAACAGTTTTATATGGTTGAGATATCTAATTTTATATTGTGTTCCACTTATACCAATGTAGAATCTTTTGATAGAAGTATGAACAGGATTGTTGGAACTTACATTAGCTTGGTATACAATGTTTTTTGTCAAGCATTTTTTTGATAAAGGCCAGGTATTCTTATTAAGGCAGTTGTAGTTAGTTTTAGGTGAAATTTTGTTGTTGTTTATAATGTGATGATTTCGTGCATTTAAAATAAATTTCATATTTGGTATAAAGCTGTAACTTATTTTTTTAATCAAAAATATCAAAAAAAAGAAATTTTTCAAAAATTTTATCACTGATGAAATTGAACCAATTTGTGGTATCTTGTGTTTTTTTCTATTGGTTGAGATGGAGTATGTTCACAAATTTAGAGTTTATAATGGAAAGTATAACTTTACAGTCTTGGACAGGAATGCCGTGCGATTGAGCGCTATTGCTGACCACACAAATGATTTGATTTTATTAAAAACTTGACCACAACTGTTTAGATGTTTATATGATTTTTTAACATTTTAAAAATGCGCTGAAAAAAAACTGCAAGCTTAACTTAAACCAGAGAGAAAATTAAAAAAAGAAAAAAAAAGAAAAAAGAAAACATTTTCTTATGAAAAATAAAATATTTAAGCACTAAAAAAACTCAAACTCGAAGCAAAAATTACTTTTTGTTTTGTTTTATTTACCTTAAAAAAAAATTACTTAAAAACTTTTCTTTCAAAATGTTTTATTTAAGTTATGTAAAAATAATGTTTTATAAAGTTATGCAAAACGCTTTTACAAATTACTTCTAATGATTGGTTAATGAATGAACAAATTTTATTTAAATTTTTAAAAAGTGTTATAAGTTGAATAAACATTTATTTTTTCCAAAAAGTTGCACACAAAAAAATGTTTAAAAAATACAGTAGTCTATTTAAATAGTAATTTTTATTTATTTATGCTCTGATTAGTTAGTCAAGTTAAAAAAGTTTTAATTCTTTGTAAAAACAGAAACAAAAAAAAAAAGCAATTAAATCATTTCATTGCAACAGAAGATTTAATTTAACTTATTTATAATTTAAAGTAATTTTAAAAAATTATATTTTAAAAGGCGTTTAGAAAGACATGGAATAGTTTCAAAGAATAGTTTCAAACGTTTAAATTTATCATAAAATGACTACATTAAAAAATTTAAATATAACATTATATGTTAATTTACACAAAATGCGTTTATTTTAAACAATCTCTATAATTCATTTTTTATTTTATTATAACAGAGCTTATAAAGTCAACGATTAAAAGTTCATAATGTAACAATATTTTTTTATAGTATTTAAATTGTTAAAACATCAAAACTGCCATGATAAAATTGTAAAGAAAAAAAGTTATTAGAGTGGTCTGTTACAGCCTGCGATCACACGCCATTCCTGTTGAAGCCTGACTTTACTTCTGCTGATTTCATTCTTGGTAGGAAATAAACAGACAGTTGGATTATTTGTAAAGTTTTCTTTAAGATCTTTTGATTTTGTAAAACAATTTGTTTATGTCAATTTTATTAATAAAAAGTTGTGATTCTGTAAGATGCGTTTACCATATTTCTTTATTTGATTCTTGTTTTGATTTGATTTTTGTATTTGATTTAATTTGATTTGATTTGTCTTTAACTTGATTTTTGTCTTGACTTGATTTTTGTATTCAATTTTTGTATGTTGAGGTGATAACATTTGTTAATAAATAGGTGTAATTTGAATCATTGTCATCACATCATTGTCCTCATCAGTTGTCGAATAAAAAGCTTTTTTCTAATCTGCCTAAGACTATGCCTTTTTTTCTTGTCGTGTTAGTCACACCACACATTCATCTGATCATCTTCAATTTTTGGCAAATACTATACCATATAAATACTAAAGTTTATATAAAAATGAAAGGATATTGTTTGACAGCATCTAAATAAATAGCAAAAGTATATGTGTATACCGATAATATGTAGTTTCTTCTTTTCAATATAAAGTCAAGCCTATTCTACTTCCCATTTTTTAATCATTTTGAGCAGTTGCTTTATTAAACAGTAATGATATTTTTCACCTTTTTACAAGAACGTCTCTTTTATAAACAAATGTCCTTTTATTATTCCAAGAAGCCAATGTAAAAAGGTCCTGTGTGATATTAAGCTCTGTTATTCTAAGTTTGCTAAATCATGTTTTATATCTCAGATGTTAGTTATATTTGCTGTTGACTCAACTTTTATGTTGGTTATATTTGCTGTTGACTCAACTTTTTACTCTCGTCTTATCTTGATCTTCACTTTTTGATTGCTTAGAACAAGCGCTAGTTTTTAATTTGATCTCTCTTCTGTAACATCCTAAGGCTTGCAGTGGCTTGTGGATATAAAATTTTTAAGGCAACAAAACTCATTTATTTACTGCAAAAAAATATTGCAATTGTTGCAAAAAAGTATTGGAATATATTGACGAAAAACAACTCTCTTACTCTCAGACTTTGTCTGAGAGTCAAAAGCACATTGTAAATGTAACTAGACCTGCTTTATCTGCCAAGCTTGAACCACTCTTCCATTGTTGTAAGGTTGCATTTCTTTATGGTCAATGTTCAAACGAGCTATTGTCACTATTACAATAAACCAAAATTCATTTTTACTTGGCTTCTTATTCAACAAGTTGCATTCTTTTACTGTATCTTTCCCTTGATGCTATAAAAAATTTTATTAATTCAGTTTTTTGTCCTTGCACATCAAAAAAGCCTTTTAACTCTTCTCCATCTTCATATTTTCATTTTTAATATATCCTGCAACTTTTAAAGTCTTTAGTTAATCATTCTTTAGTATTTTAACCTGTTTTCTAATTTAAAGTAACTAATAACTTGAAAATAGTTGCTTGCAATCTTGTTGAAAGTAAATTAGAGTCCCAAAGTGTGTAATAAATAGTAAATGTAAATATAAAATTATAATGCAAAAAGTATTATGATTTTTTTTTCTAGCCCTGGCTATCAACACCTGCTAAATCTTATAATTTTGCTGGGGCCAAGTTTGCAAAAAATCTTATTTTTAGCCAGGGCAGGGGCCCTGGTCACTTACTACACGCAATGCAAAATTTTACTAATAAACAAAAGAAAAAAGATCAAAAGTTTTCCCTTGCAAAATCAAAATAACGCATTAAGTTTAATGAAAATCACAGCGTAAAGAAGCTTAAGATCTCCTACTTTTGTTTTTTAAATAAAATAGCTGTTGCGTAATTTATGGTTGAGTCCTTAGGAAAAACCGTAAAATTGTTTATTAAGACTTACCTTAAGAAAAACGGTAAATTTATTCATTCATTTATTATTTGCAGCCAAATACCAATGAAAAATATTTGAATACTAAATATCTTTTACTATTGCCAACCATGTATTTATTTTTTGCCAAGTAAATTAGAATCTCTTGAGTAGGTAATTCATCACACTAAAAAGTCTATGAAGCTTTATAAGTTTATATGATATTTGACATCCAAGACTTAATATTCGGTTTAGAAAACTTAGTATTTGGTTCCTTCCATAACAATAAAAACATAAAAAGTCCTAACAGGTAAAACAGGTGAAAAAAACTACGGGTGCATCTGCAGATACTAAATATTTAAAGTTAATATATTGAGTTAAATAAGATATATAATCACTAAATTAGCTATTTATGTGTAACTGTGTTTTATGTGGGTTTTATTTAGTTAGGATTACAATGGAGTTTTTGAGATTTAAAAGAAAAAAAAAATGTTTTGGCTTTTCTATCTGTTTTACATATTTAAAAAAAAAAATTTTAATATGTTAAACTAAAACTTTTTTGTAAAATTTTATTAAACTTGTTATTATCTAATTGGAGAGACTTTTTCTAAGAGAAAAATGCAATACAGGGAGATTTTCTGTATCTTTTTTTTCTGATTTATGGCATTTGTCATTTTTTAAATCTCCTGTTAACTGTTTTCTCGTTCTTTAATTCTTTTCTTTGTTTTTTAGTCACTTTGTATGATAGTGGTTGCCTAAACTTTTAATGGAAACCTTTTAAAGAAATAAATTTGTTTTACAATCTCAAAAATGATTTAAAAAATTTTTTTAATTAAAAAATGACATAAAGCGTTGAAGCAATTTTGTCTATGAAAATTGTCTATGTAATTTATTAATTTTTTGGTATGTGAACTCAATAACTAGATTTTAATGTTTACAAATTTTTAATGGCTAAACAATTTTTTATTAAACTTTATAGGTTGCTTTGTCTCTTATGGCATATAAGCGTTATAGTCAAGGAGATGGTTTTTCAAGCAACCCAGTCAGCTCATCAAACCAATATAATGTTGGTGGAGGAGGTTATAAACAATCACCCTATGCATCTTTTCCTCATCCTGGAGAAGATGACTCTTTAGGTTATCAACAGCAACCATTTGGTATACCGGAGCAGCCGTTTGGTGTTCCACCACCTAAACAAAATGTAAAAACCGAGTATAATGTACCAGAATACTAAAGTTTATTCAAAGACAGTGTCATCTGTTCGAAACAGAAATATCAAATCATGAATTAGTGCTTCATTAACTTATATAAAACGAAATTTCTTTTAGAATACATTTGTTTATAAACACTTTCACTTGAAATACTTTTATAAAATGTGTATTTTTATGTATCAAAATTTTATTTCGTAAAGTTTATTGCAAAAGTCTTTTTTTAAATATATGTATATGTGTACATATATATATATATATATATATATATATATATATATATATATATATATATATATATATATATATATATATATATATATATATATATATATATACACACAAACATATATATGCATATATGTTCGTGTGTATATATATGTATATATATATATATATATATTTGTGTATATATATGTATATATATGTGTGTATGTATATGTATATATATATTTATATATATGATATATATATATATATATATATATATATATATATATATATATATATATGAGTATAAAATGTATATATATATATATATATATATACATATATGCATATATATATATATAAATATGTGTGTATATATATGTATATATATGTATGTGTATTTGTATATATATGTGTGTGTGTTTATATATATATATATATATATATATATATATATATATATATATATATATATATATATATATATATATATATATATATATGTATACATATATATATATATATATATGCATATATATATATATATATATATATATACATATATATATATATATATATATATATATATATATATATATATATATATATATATATATATATATATATATATATATATATATATATATATATATATATATATATATATATATATATATACGTTGTTGGGTTCTTTACTAAGTGTTTGTTTTTGTTTTTTGATAAAACGTTTTTTCAAATCTTTTATAACAGTGATCTAGCGTTTAAACTTAAACACTAAATTTTATTAGATCTTTTTAGTTTATATTTTTTGTAAATTTTTAACGCTTTATGTTGTGTTTCGCTTCTTAAGTATGCAACAACAAAAAAAATATTAGTTTTTATCATTTTTTTTATAATTTTTATTGCAATTCAATTAGAATTCAGATTATGGTTTTGAATGATTAAAAATCTTAAATTATTTTTAATGCGTTTGCTGTTACTTATATGGATGGTGATTTTTTTAATATTTTATAAATTAAATTAACTCACAATATGATTATAATTAGTAGTATTAGAGTTTATTATTGGATCAGAGATCGCGTCATCAGGAATCGCGGCAGCTTCTGAGGGAAAACTCAAACTTGAGAATGTTTTAGCTTATGTCAAATGAGAATACTTTATAAGAAATGTATCTTCATCGACAGATTTTATTTATTGTTAAAATGTTATAACCATGTAAAGTTAATGACCTTTCTCATTTTTAATTAAACTGTTTACTTGTCGTAACCGCCAAGTGCTTACGACAAGTAATTATTAATTTTAAAAAGTGATGTTTAATCACATTATTTTCGTATAATGAACATTTGTCTGATATTTTTTATAAACAAAATTAGGTTACATTAACTTTAAATTTTAGTTTTTTCCAGCTTCTTACCCACTATGTATTGTAAAAAAAGCCTTGCGACATTTCAAACAACTTTACTGATTTAATTTTGTTAGAAAATCTAATGTCAAGTTAACAATAAAATATTTGCTTGTATTGTTTTGTAACGTTAACAAAGTACTTATTGCTGTCAGCGTCTCATCTTGTCAGCATCTTTTTAAGCACAATGAAATACTATCAGTATTAGAGGTGTATCTCCCCATTTGTTATCCTTTTATATTTATAATAATTACCAGTTTCTATTATTTTAGTTTTCCTGTGAGTTAAACAAAAAATAAATAATTAGTGGTGAAAGTAAATTTTGTTTTGAAAATTGCTGCAGATGTTCATTTTGTGTGGCAGTTGCTGAATTATCATTTCGTACATACATCAACATTGTTACACGTAGTTGTGGAGTGTAATTAAATATCATAAAGACTTTTAAGTTTGTTTTTAATTATCTTGAAACAAAATGCAAAAAAAGTGAATAGTTCAAAATTTGAAAGAAAAACAAACCAGATAGTGATTTTTGGAACACACTTTATGTTGAAGAAAAAAATATATATTACGAAAAGGCGTATTTATACAAGTGTTCTCTTCCACTTCAGTTGTTCTCAGTATTTTTTTAAAAAGCTTATAATAACTCATAAAATATGGTCGATTTTAAAATAGGCAGAAACTATTCAGTAGCTGAAATGAAACTCTTGAATTGAATAGACTGAAACATATAAGTTATTTCCTTGATGGCTTTAAATCTAATCCGGATTTTAGTAAAAAGACGATCTATACGCTCGTGCATTGTTCTTTTATTTTAAACTTGCAAAGTGAGTTCGGCATCTCTTACCATTCTCTTCTTTCAACCTGGTCTAGTTTTAATATTGTTTTGCAAACCTAAATAAAGCGCTTAATTTTAAAAAGTGAATTCAATAGACTGATCCCGAATTCCAATGATGTAATGTTACGGCATCCTGAAGACGAGGCGAACCATGACAAAAATTAAAAAAAAATATTTGTTATTAAAATTTATTAAACGATGTCGACTGCTAATTTAGAAGATATTTTAAATGCCGAAGAAGTTATTCCTATTGTTTTATTACAGGGTTTATCTGAAAATGTTTGCTCAGAAGAAATCAATGTTAATATACCTTATAAAGTTACTAAGATAGATCTAAAGTATCAGGTACATAACAAATGGGGGAAAAGCTTGATAGAAATGCCCTTATTTACAATTAATAACATTCAAAATCATCGCAAACTAAGTGGTAAATCAAAAGGATTATCTATTAAAAAAACACTCTTAAGAGGTAAAAAATTCCAAGAGGAGCGGTATATTTCATCGGATTCAATATTTACATATTCTGCAAACAATGTATTTAAAACTAAAGGATTATGTAGAGCTAGCATGAAAAAAGATATATGGGAAGTTACTGTCCACATATCACAAAATTCGTCCCAAGTTATCTATGCTTGCTGTTCTTGTCCAGCAGGAATGAGTGGATATTGTAACCATGTAATGGCTTTGTTGTTAGAATTAGCAGATTACTCTACAAAATTTTTAAAAAAAGTCCCTACTGAAATATCTTGTACAAGTAAACAACGACAATGGGGTGTTCCTGGTGGAAAAAAAAGATACAAAGCTCCTATAATGAGTTCAATTGTTAAGAAGGAAAATAATAAGCGTGGTATAAAGTCTACATTGTATGACCCTAGACTTCTTTTCAATGAACAATATATGAACTTAAAAGTTTTAAAAATTCAAAAAAAACTTATTGAAGTTAACTACAAAATTGGATTTGCCCATGTTGTACCACCCATTCACACTTACAAATATGTCAATACAAGATTTGGTCAATTTCCAACAGGCTCACCTCTAAGTATGCACTTGCAAGTTGTGGAACCACATTTTACCTTGAATATTTACCTTTAAAAGAATTAAGTGATGACTATAATGACATCGTTCCAGATTGTATATTTTCTTTTGAAAAAAAAAATTATTTAAAAAAAATAGAAGTTACATACTTAGAGGCTAAAAATATTGAAAAGGCAACAGTTTTACAAAATTTTTCGGATAAGTGGTTTGCCTTACGAAGAAACAAAATTACTTCAAGCAACGCTCATAAAGTATATATTAAAACTAAAAACTTTGACAGTCTTATCACCATATTTACACAAAAACTTAATTTAATTGATTCTAAACTTTTTCAAAAAGCTATAAAACATGGTAAAGACTTTGAACCTATTGCCAGGGAAACTTATATCGATGTTATGAAATATAAACTTAATCATTCTATAAAATGCAGAGAAACAGGGATTGTTATACAGCCTAAACTACCATGGCTTGCAGCATCACCTGATGGTAAGTTAATTAACGGAGAATTAAATAATGAATTTGGATTGATAGAAATAAAATGCCCTTGGTCAAAAAGAAATCGTACCCCAAAAGAATTAGTACTCGACGAATCTTTTTATGTTAAAATGAAAAATGATAAACCAGTCTTGAGAAAAAAAAATGTAAACGGCTATTACACTCAAATACAAATGGCTCTAGGAATATCACAAGTAACATTTTGTGATTTCATTGTTTATACGTTTAAAGGATGCATTATTATTCGAATTCCTTTTGATATAATGTACTTTAAAGATGTTGTAAATAAACTTAACTTATTTTATATCAAATATCTTTTACCTGCTATTGTTGAACTTGAGACAAGTCAAATTGAACAATAAATTATAATACAAATAAAAAATTGCATTTTTAAAAAGTAGGTCGTTAGTAAAAAATATATTCTTTTTGTTAATATCATGTAGTTTTTTCTGTATCATTTATTAAGGGTGACTGGAAGTTTGTAAGTAGACAAATAACCGTCCAAATCTGATTGACTGAACCATGTAAAGATAGTGTTATTTCATTACGTATTATTTTATATCGCTTTATTCTTTGGATAGCACGCTCTATATGTATTCGTACAGATGCAATAGTTTGGCTTTCTTTAACCTCAGCCAATGTAAATTGGTTTCGACCTTCTAAAAATGAAGGAATGTTTAGACGTACATTGATGTTTTCTAATTCCTCTTCAATTGTAAACCCTCTATCTGCAATTACTGAATCATCTTTATCCCAAAGATCTTTATTTAAAAATCCGCTTCTTATTACTATTTCTTTATCTGATACTGATCCAGGATACAACTGACTTACAAATATTATAGCACCAGAAGGAGATATACCTAGTAATCCCTTGTATGTAACATGACTTTTGTAACTTGAATACAAGCAACTCTGAATATTTAAGGATGATGGTATTTGACAAAACAACTCAGTGCAATCAATAATGCATCTTGTACTTGGGTATGTTATTTTAAAACATTCAGGCATTGTCAAATCAATTTGTTCTCTGGAAGGCCAAATAGGTATCCTACCAAGTGTAAAATACAAATAGTTAATCCATGATATTATCTGTCTTGATATTGTTGATTTTGGCAACTTAAACAACCATCCAATATGAGAAAGTGCAAATCCATATTTTAAATAAACAAGAGTCATAAAAAACTGATCAAGTGCACATAATTTTGGTTTCGGACCTTTTTTTGGCATCGATTCTATGTTGCTGTGTTTTTGTTTTTTTTCAATACTTGACTGAGAATCATAAAATTATAAAAACTCACAGTTTTCACCTGGGTCCACCAAAAAAAATACATCATTGAACCTGTCTAATTCTAAACCAGTAAAAGATTTGAACAACTTTGGCTCAGTAGAAATATTTTTATAATTGAATTCGTTTTGTTTTTTACTTTCAATCTCCTTATTAATCTTGGAGTTCATTATTGTTAATGTTAGGTTTTCATTTTTAAGGAAATCGTTTTCTTTTTTAAGTTGCTCTAACTGCTCTTTTAAATGTTGACAATTTTCACAAGCAACGTTTTCTTTGGGATGCTCGATATGAAAATTTATATCTGTTTCTATATTAGAACAAGTTCCACTTTCTAAAGCTTCTGTTGTTATATTGCAAGGTAATTTTTTTTTTGAAATTTTTCTATTTTTTTTTAATAATGTTTTCTTTAAAAACAAAAATAGACGGTATAGCATCTTTATGAAGTGTTTTTCTTCCAGAACAAGGTTTTAAGATAATATCACTTATATTAAAATGAAATTCGCAGACTAAGGTATACTTCTTTTTAACATTAAAGTTATCTACTCCTCCTTGTCGTCGAATGCTATTAAATACATTAATCCACTTTTTTAACAATTGAGGGTTGCTTTTAGGAAAAGTGAATAAACCAAAATTTGTTTTATTTTTATGCTTGTCATAACTAGCATTTTTACACATTGGTACACAGCAGTATTGACCCCTACCACCACTTTCCAGCTGCCTAGGACGAGTTTCAGATGAACCAATATAAACATCCTCTTCTGCAACTGCAACACTTATATCCATATTTTTTAATTTCTTTTTTTTTTAATAAAAAGACAATATATATAATAAAATATTTAACAACGTTTTTCAAAGCAACTAACTTTTTTGTAAATAAAATGTAAATAGCATCAAAAACAAAAAAAGTTTAAAATGTTTTTTTTTTAAATTTTATATTTTGTCATGGTTCGCCTCGTCTTCAGGATGCCGTAACATTACATCATTGGAATTCGGGATCAGTCTATTGCGCGTTCTGCAATCTGACTACGCTTTTTGCGCACAATAAGTCATAGCGTTCTACTTTTGTCAACACCTTGCAAAAATACTCAAGTCTGCACATACTTTTGTGCAAGATTTCTTAAGTAAATCGCACTTTATTAAAGGTAGTAGAAAAATAAAATTGCAGACAGCGAAAGATCTACTACTATTTAAAAAAAAATTTAAATGCCGCAATTGGTTCGTTATTCATTTCTTTCACGGCTATAATGCGGCGTGATAAGCACTCCACCATGTTGTCGACGTCATTTTACTAACAAGGACCCAATCAAGAAGTTGAAGCAGCAAAGACTGAAATTCTTTTTTAAAGTTCAAAAAAATGTACTCGTCCTGGAGCATTAGTATCATCAATTCCGTTTTTGTCATTGTACGTCACTATCCAAATAGTGTATAATATTTCAAGTGCATTATTAAACATGATTCGAAAACATCTTATATATTTTATATTCTCAATAAGAAGTTTTCTTTGATCATTCAGGACATTTATAAACTAACTTTAAGAGTATGGTACAGATTAGCAAATTATATTTTAAGTTAACATTTAATTTCATAAGGAGTTCTTTTTCTAGTAGATTATATTTGGAAAACATTTCAGCAATATCAAAAGAGTTTTTTTTATTCAACAAATATTGTCAATTAAAACTTTACCTTCGGTGTCAAACTATCCTAAATTATATACCCCCTGTCAATGTTTTTTATTTTTCAAAGCAACGTAAATAATCTTCCGATGACTCATAAGTATGTACTTTGAGCTTAATATGGGCTTCACTATGTCTGAAACCCAGACAAAAAATTTGATGCCATATCTATAACATCAAAGTCAAAGAGTCGACAACAAAAACAATTTAATAATATCTATTGAATGAGTGCATAAATTAATAAAAAAAGCAGCTTTTTCTCTTCACTTTGCATCGTATTGTAAAACTACTCTTGTAGTTAGGTCTTTCTCTTTTGCACTTTCTCTTTTGATGGTATAACTGGTATTTATTTAATGTGTAACTGGTATCTCCCAGAAAGAAACATTACTTAATTTCTCTTCCTCAACTATACTCATCAAGTCAATTATTGTATCTTGAGTCATTATCAATATTTTTTGCTTTTTGCATCTTTTGTTGTTTTGTGTTAGTGTCATCTATTTAAACCATTATAGTTACTTTGCTTTTCAGTATGCATGATTGATTATGCCAAGTACACAGAATTAGCTAAACAAACGATGAAATAAGCTAAACAAAAAAAGTAAAACAATTTGTAAATTAAATTAACTATTTGAATTTTATCATGTGAATAACATTTTATAAAAAATATTTTTAAACCAAATTACAATTACCCTTTGTTCTCCATTAATGACTTCCATTCATTAATGTTGGGGAACAACTATCTTTGATGTGTATTAAGGTGGTATCTAGTTAATGTTGCGTCTTACTGATGTGTATTAAGGTGGTATATATTTTTTTTAAAAAAGAAGATAAATTAAATTAAATCTTTTTTATTTACTATTATAGCTGCTATTATTTTTTTAAAAATATCAAGCTTTGCTCGGTCATCTCAATCAATCTATTATTTTCTCAAAAATGTCAAACTTTGCTCAGTCATCTCAATCAATCTAATATCACCATTAATAAAAATATTTTCAACTAATAATTTTCTAATTTAACTTAAAATATTTAATTAGATGTATCCCTATGGATAATAATGAATTGTTTGAATTGTATGGATAATAATCCAACAATTCAAACATTTTGAATTATTAGATTAGTTTAAAATTATTATTTATCAAAATAATATCGAAAGTGGACTTAGGTTAGTAGTTTTTTTAAATTGCTAAAAAAATTTTCACCTTAGTTAGTAGTATCGTGGCTAAACAAAATATTCAGAAACAAAAACGTCTGAAAATTATAAATTACTATAATAGGAAACGATCTTTACCTTACCGTTTGAACCATTTCAAGAAACATTTCCTGATATTCAAATAGCGAAAAAAGACTTAACATATTAAAATGACGACTTTACGGATGAAGCACTTTGGCACATGTATAATAATATATTTTTATCAATATCTAAATGATAGAATTATTCAGAAGATTACAGACTCTTGAAAAAACTATTTTTATTTACATGCCTCATACAGCTGTAATATAATTAAACAAAGACACAAAAAAAGTTATAATAGTGTTTGATGCATCTTTAAAAATTGCGAAAAATCCTATTCTAAATGACAGTCTGTATTCTGGTATCTAATTATTTCTTTATTTATCTAATATATTAATCCAATTTATACAAGATTGATTTAACATTAGACATTAAGCGAGTATTTTTAAATATTGGTATTTCTCCCTTTAAAAAAGATTTCTTGCGCTTTATTTGGTTCAATAATGCATCTTTAAAATCCAGAAAATAAATAAAATTTCTTACTATTATATATACTCTCTTATATTACTTAAGAGAGTGAAAGGGTTTTTAAGCTCTGACGAGGTTAGATAAATTTGTTTTTTGTTTTGATAAATTAGTGGATGAGGCGTTTAAAATGCTACGAACTAAACAATCATTATTAAGTATCAGTTGAAAAATAATTCCCTTGCACTGTTGATTCCGATATTTCAAAGAAAATGTATGATCTTTCTTGCTCTGTTGATTCCGATGTTTCAGAAACGAAGCTTACTGAGCTGGAAAGTATTTTTAAAAAGAACTTTGAAATTTCAATTTGAAGCATCAAAGAAAGCTAATTTTTCGTATTTAAATGTTTTTATATTTTTTTATATAGAGAACAACTTAAAATGTAAAAATAAAAATTATATTAGCAGTCCTCAATCAGCAATTAAATAAAAATTGGCCAAACCTGGAAGACCGTCCATAGAGTTCGGACAAAAGTTTTTTCATTAAAACAGTTGGCAAGTGCCGCTGTGCTCAACAACCACGTACCAGAAGCCATTTTATACGCAGCTTCCCAGGAGCTAATAAATAAAGGCTTTCATCATAAAGTAAAAAGTCAGTCTAAAACTTAAATTGGCAAATCGCTTATATCAATATCAGTGCCAGTGTCTTTAACATCGAAGAAAAAAACTTTTTTTGCAATCATTGGTATACATCTTGGAGGATAATGTTTAAAAACATCTCTATAACCATATGAAGGTAGAATGCTTAAGCTTACATTCCAACCTCTGGTTCTTCTGACTAAAATACAAACTGGTTAATAAAAACTATTCCAATTTTATCGTAATTGACATGAATGATTTTTTGCATGTGCAAGCACAAGTCTCAATGTATCAAATTAAATCAAGTGTATTCTGAAATACATTTCATAGAATATTTACATATAGTACAAGTACTATCTTTAAGTAAACAAATGAAAAACTAAAAAACAAAAGCAGTACAATACTTTTACTTCTCGAGCCCATAATAAAAGAGAGGGAGGGGGTACGTTTAATAATTTTTAGAAAATTTTCCCACCCACTCTAAGCTTATTAAGATCCCTCCTCCCCCGTTTATTAAATTTTACTTGTTATCAACAAAAACTTTATATCTCAAAACTAAAAAAGTTAGAAAAACTTAATTATTAGAAAATAATTATTTCAGTCACCGATAAAAACAATAGGCCGGGTGAATAAAAAAAAGCAACGCTTTTACTCAGTAATTGGTCAGCTTTACATGAATAAAATCAGCACCTTTTCTGAAATTTTTATTTACGTAAAGCTGAGCAATTAGCGTTTTTAGAGCAAATTGCTTAACTTTACGTGAATAAAATTTTTTTAACAATTGCTTAAATTTTTATTTATGTAAAGGTGAACAATCACTCTAAAAACGCTGAGTAAAAGCAATTGCTTTTTTTATTCACTCGGCCTAAAAACATACGAAACCTTTCCAACCCCTTATTTTAAGGACTCAAGAGTACAGAAAACTATATGTAATAGTAATAAAATCTAAGACAACAAACAAAATATAACTGTTTAATTTAACTAATATACTTATTAGACATGAAGAAATCGAAAGCACTTTACTCTGTGAGTCGGTCCCTTAAAAACCATTCTAAAACACACTGCCAAAAGATAATTGTATTCAAAATCTCAAGTCATAAATTTAGTAAAAAGACTAATTTTTATTAGTTTTTAGAGAAATGCCACAACTTTAAAATCTTTTACAGCTTCTCAGGATTTGCATTAAAAAGGTAACCGCAGTTCTTTAAATTTAAAAATCACACGCAAGAAGAAATTTATAACCTAGAATATCATGTGTTGACAGAGGAACTAAAATTAAACACTATTTTTTATGATTGTACAAACCATATTGAATAGCTTAAAAATAATTAAACTTTATCAAAAAATTTTGCTTGAGAAATATTTATGTAAAGTTTGTTGTGTACTTTCATTTCTAATGTGAAAAATGCTTATTGCAGTATTTAGTATTTTCAGTTTATTTTTAGTAGTTTATTATGGTTGTTCTTAAATGTTAAAATAATATTGAAATGTTATTTTTACCTTACCTCTCATTTAAAAATAAACTTAAAGAAATAATTTTGTCTCTGGATAATATATTTTTATATTTTTAAACGTTTAATAATTTCATGTAATATTTGATGTATTTATGCTGTAAAGTTTTTATAGAGATATACAACTATATTTGAATATGATTTATTGAGATTGTAAAATGCGAGCGGTTCTTGATGACAAGACCTGACGGTCTTTTGCGAGTCTCCGCGTTCTTTTTATAAAATTAAATACCTGTATAACTAATGCAAGTAAAAAAGAAAATAGAAAAGAAATAAATTTATTTGCTTTTTTGCCATTTTCTGGCCATTGTACCTTTGTGATGCCACTAATGTTCACAGTAAAACACATTCTAGATGAAGGAGCATCGAAAGCGACCATATATCGTGCTCTAAAACGTGTAGACAATAATTTAGGCTATCAACGAAAAAAAGGAAGTGGTCCAAAGGCGTAAAAAATGGACAAAAAACACATAGACCAATTGAAAAAGACATTTGATCATCATCACGGTGTTTCGCAACGTCAAGTAGCTTGAAAATTCGATTGTGACCAATCGTATGTTCTAAAATTCTTAAAAACAAGACGAATATTACAAAAAGAATATTAAAAGAAGAAAAAGATTCCACATTGAAGCGAAAGACAACCAGTTCGAATCAAACCTTTGTATCGGCATATATATCGCAATTTTAGGAGTTTTAATTTTGTCTTGGATGACGAATCATATTTCACATATGCAAATGCAACATTGGCTGGTAACGATGGCATCTGTTCTAGCGACGTACCATCTACAACTAACGATGTCAAATTCAAAAGAAAAAAGAAGTACGAAGAAAAAGTGCAAGTCTCTCTGATTATATCGCCCAAAGGGACTTCAAAAACAAAGTTTTTTGAAAGTGGCCAGGCAATTAATAAACAAGCATACATCGGATGTCTCCGCAAGCGGTTAATACCCTTCATTAATGAACATTATAAAAATTAAAAGTATTTGTTCTGGCTAGCTCACACTATGCAAATTAAGTGGTTTCTTTTCTCGATGTTAATAACATCAAATACCTGACAAAGGTAAAAAATCCACCCAATGTACCAGAAGCTCGAGCTATTGAGGACTTTTGGCGTCAGTTGAAACGCTTAGTCTACGAGGATAATTGGCAAGCAACAAGCATTCCTCAACTCAAACGGCGTATTGTGAATTGTCTTAACAAAATGGGTCCGGAAGTGGCAAAATGTTATGCCTCAATGACTTCAGTTCGTCTAGGTCGAATTGCTTTTAATGATGTTATTGAAAACCAATAAATATATTTTTTTAAATATCATGTAATTGTTTATAAATTTATTTTAAATTAAATTTGATAGCTATGTAACTATGGCTATAATAACAATTTTAAAGTTGTCTCATTTTTTAGTCATCAGGTGTTAAAATTTACAATTTATTAGTGAATATAAATTTATTTAAAATAGTAGAAAAAACATTTTTTTGCCCCAGGCTCCATAGAAAGTAAACAACCCAGTACACAACCTGCTAAAACTAACAGGACAACTTCAACTTTCTATTTCAGGATTAAATCAATCAAAAAGTAAAACAACTGGTTTTAAGAAGTCACTATATAATTTAATACTCATAGATTTAACGCATGTAACATATAAACAGGTCTTTCATTTTGCAACTTTGTAGCATTCTTTATGCTTTTTCAGGAAGCCCGCAGTTCTCTTCCTTTTTATGGTCACAAAACTTGTAAACGATATCTTCACTAATTATCTTATCGTAAAACATTTTGTTTGATGACCGCTTAGCTACGATTTTAGGTATTTTAAGTAAGACTGCATTGAAAATACATATTTGCTATTCAATAACAATATTCAGTAGCCTTTTAGGCTTCAGTTTTTTTTAAAAGCACTTTTAAAAAAAACACAAAAAACGGAAAAAACACAATTTTAAAACACAATTTTTAAATGCAGTTCTATTTGTTTTAATAAGTTTTTATAATTAAATATAAAATATCTAAATTAATTTAAATAAATTACACTAAATTTGAAATTAAAAACTTGTCAACAATGTCAACAATCGAAGAAATAGCAATCAACGCCTTCAAACCAGCAATCGATATGAAGGAT